TCAGCAAATGAAATTAATTTAATACTTAAATAAATTTCAAATAAAGCTATATTCAATCAATCTTAAAATATAGTTCACTTTCAACTTGTTCTTTTTTATATATGAGCAATTATTAGTGCATATCTTCTTTTATGTCTATTATCTAATGAGCAGTAGTTGCATCTTTGCTCCAAGGATCGAAAAATCCTTCTTGACTCTTGTCATGACCTTGACCCTTTCCACAGTCTCGTCGATGTAGTGTATAGATGTCAAGTGAGTGAAATTGTCTTTAACCTATTGTCTTTTGGAGTTAGTTCCATCTCCAACTCTTGCATTATGGACCTCAGAATTTTTCTTTGTCCCAGCATGTCTAGCATTTTTGTTCGAAAGAACCTTGTTATATCTCTCAACCGCTTGCAGTAGATTGATGATTTTGTTCTAAATGTTATATTCAAGTTATACTCGCTCATTAGTTTGATAGTCAATATGTGAAAGATGGAAAAAAGGGTAAGAATCACGTCATCTTTTGTAAGTTCTTTCCACAGAGATTGAGATGCATTTGAGACGTGACATTTCCTTGTTGAAATCAGTTACCTTCTTGTAATCAAGTGTGTTTCATTCCACTGTATGATTAGTTTGGGGAGTATATGATAATAAATATTCCCGACTTCTCTTTTCACAACTCCCCATGGTTCTTAGGGGTTTCTAGTTAACAATATTCTCTCCGAAGGTGAATTGTGTGTTGTTTCATAATTTTACTTGTACCTTAGCTGTCGGTTTTTAAGGCCAATAGGGTTTGATGGTTTTTAAATGTTAGCTTTGTTTTTCCGAACATATCTTATGGTTATAAGTCCTTTTGAGTCCAGTATATCGTAATAATGGAAAATGTATGATTTTTTAAGACAATGAATTATGGTTCATAATCATTATTTTATGCATGAAATTTTATTATTAAAACAATATTTGATTTTTGCACATTTGTAAATTTTTGTTGATGATACTTTATCAATATTTTAATTTTAGAAAATAAATCACTCAATCTATTTACACTCGTTTGACAAAACCCCCTATGATATCTTGTGATTAATCATTTATAAAATACATAGATGATATTAATGATTTTGGCATGGGGCCAAGAGATGAGATCAAATGTGGATAATTTAATAACATTTTTGGAGCTTTTGACAAGAGGCCAAAAGGAATATGAGTTTGGTATAATAAGCCAACTACAATGTTTTAATACATTAATGGTATTTTGAGAGATTTTACCATTATAGGTCTGACATAGGCCAAATAAATATTGATTTTGACATAAAATCGAGTTAAACTTTTAACATCATAATAGTATTTTAGAAGCTTTTGATGAAAACCCAAACTCTTATGGGGGTTGGAAAATGCAACTTCAAAAAATCATCTATAAGATGTAGAATTGTAACTAAATATTAAAAACTAATATAAACATTTGAATTAAGGGAAACAACTAAAATAAATTAGGGTCCGTTTGGGTTACAGAATTGTTTTTAAGAGATTTGGATTTCATGAAGGGATTTAGATTGGAATGAATTTGAAGTTATTGGTGTGTTTGGTTTGTAAGATTTGGAATGGAATTGGATTTCATTATTTATAAATACTTTATAGAAAAAACTATAAATAATTATAAAAATAATTGAATTACATTTTTATTAATCGATTATTACAAAACAAATATTTTTAACATTTTTTAAAACTTTATAGCATACAATCCTACGAAATCCCGAGCACTCTCTAAGGATTTCAAAATCCTATATTTGATTATGTTTATAGATATGAACATATATTTACCCAAATGAACATACGAAAGATGATTAACATGTATGACCATATGAACAGAAATTCACATCTATGAACATTCGTACAACCATATGAACACAATTGACATATATAAACCCTTGTATCAATTACGAACACAGATTGACATATATGTACAGTTGGTATAAACATGAACACATATTGACACAAATGAACATACGATGAACACAAATTCACATATATATGAACATTCGTATAACCATATGAACACAACTCGACATATATGAACCCTTGTGTCAATTATGAACACAAATTGACATATATGAACCCTTGTGTCAAAAATAAACACAGATTGACATATATGCACACTTTTGTCGTTTACGACTTTTTTCCTCATACACCCTTGTTCACACATGAACAATTCTCATAAATATCGACTGCTGCTTCATATATGAACCATTAACAAAAAAAAACTGTAGAAGAATCTGATGTTGGAAATCTTGCTATTGATTTTGATTCGATGACAAGATTAATTCCCGAATAGTTACATTGTTATTAATTGGCAATTACAGAACATCTCATTGTCATTAATGGGCGGTTACAAAATATCTCATTATCATTAATGGACAACTAATTTTTTTTCCCAAACCCTTGTAAATATTGTTCACTTATGTTACCTTGTCTGTGTTCAATTATTTACACTTTATGTCATGAACGATCTTAGCTACAAATTTCAAAGATCAATGGTCAAGATTGGTCAACAAGTTAACACAATAATTTTTTTGGATATATATATATATATATATATGTGTGTGTGTGTGTGTGTGTGTAGTATTTTTCCATCTATGCAAAAAATATTTTCTAGACGTTCTTGCATTCTCATAAAATAATGTCGTTTTTGTTTGAACCTCCATCTATTCAAGCCTACGTCGTTACATTCCATCGAGGATTAGGAATAGCCATAATCAGGCATGCATTATGTATATCTCTCGTTATTTGGGACCCTATTCACCTTTTTGAGTTCCTATACAATCGAGAAATAGATTTGATTGTCCATCTTTTTTCTATATTGGATATCTATACAAGGCATTCTCCGGATAATTCAAACCGAAGCAATTGGATGTACAATTCGGGCATATATGACATGATCAATCAATAGAAATACTACAATACTCCCACTTCTGTCACATATTCCATACATCACACTAGATAGCGATCATATTCGTGAAATACGATTCACTTTCAATATGTATTGCTGGTGAAATGGCAAACACACAAGACTCAAAATCTCGTGCTAAAGAGCGTAGAGGTTCGAGTCCTCTTCAAGGCATAATATTGGGAATGCTCATTGAATGAGCAATCCAATAAGAAAGTTCGAATAGCAATATTGACTCGATCCAAGCTCTCTTGGAATAAGTTTGGCAGTGAATCACAAAATCTTGGTCATTTTCTCTCTATAATGAATGAGAAGTTTGTTTTAAAATCGTCTGCCCTACACTCACCCCCAGAGTATATGCTTCAAGAGAAATCACACAAGAGTAGATTATAAACCTCTAGCAAAATGACCGAACATAAAGTACATTACATAGCATTACATAGTTCTTTTTAGAGATTGGTGAATTAGCCATTCAGTGAGTTTAACACTAGATGTTCCCCAAATGTGTATTGTCGATCGGGTGAATTCAATAATAGACGCTTGCTGGAATTTCAGCCTTCCTTTGTCTTTCATGGCCACATATGTTTCCGGCTAACAAATGAGAAATCCTTCTCCTCCTCTTCCATGAAAATAGTTTGCATTTCATCTAGAAAAAGCTATCATTTTTTTTTTATCAACAATGCCTTTGTCGTTTGATCCAATAGTGTTCCTTTGGATGGGAACATATTTGGTAACTACTATAACTTTTGAGAGTATTAAAACGGAAAGATTCATTAGATTATGAACTATTGGCTCTAAGCCATCTTTGGTGATTAATCAACAATTCGAAATGATATTCTTGTGTCTTCTCGCTAAAACAACGTTTATATAAAGATGATTAAGAGGAATTTTTGGGGACTAAAAAGCCCCTATGACATCTCTTCATTTGCAAATAATTGTCGATGTGAAAACACAGAGACAAAGGGCTGAGCTTTGAATAGGAAAAATAGTGGATCTGCAGGGTCCCAAATGAATTGGCTTATTCGAAAAAGTCCTTGTTCTTTAGAAGATCTATCTCGTGTCTGGTATTGCACGATTCCACTCTACAAGAACTCTGAATCATTCTTTTGAAGCTCATCATCTTCATCATAAATGATCCGCTTGCTTGAAATGACCTGAACCAATAGTCCAATAAAGAAATCCCAAATCATTGGGCCTTTCAATACCATCAAATAGAAAGCCCCAAGAATGCTACATTCCTAGAAGCCCAAACTATGTGATTGAATAAATCCACCTATATATGTATGTTATGGGTCGAGGGCTCATTCTCCTTCCCCCTCTTCAACTCTGATTCGTCATTTTCATAAAGAAATCTCTAATCAATGATACAACAAGATCCATTTTGCATCATATCTAATGAATTCATTAGTTTGGGTCGAAGAGACAATATCACTCGATTTATATCAAACTCACAGCGTGTCCTTGAGGATCCCACTAGAGTGTTCTACTTCTATAGGCCAAGCACTAGACCATAATCATTAGTCCATAAGGAGTGATCTTATTTTTTCCATTGGGTCTGGATAGAGACCAAAGATCTTGAGTGACCGATCCGGCAAAACAACTCAAAAAATAGAGAAGTGCCGTTAATTTCTTCGTGCTCATTCGAAGTCTAATTGTACAAATAATAATCCACTTGGTTACATGACTTCTTTTTCATATAGATTGATATAAGATCTATGGACAATTACATAAAAGTAGATTTTGTGCTACAACCCTTCCTACATGATAGAAAATGATCCCATGATCCTTAACAGGGATCACAAATCCCAAATTGGGTTACGAAGAACGAATGTCATTGTATTAGTATCTATAATTGATCTCTTCTATGTAAAATTAATCAATAGGGCCTTGTTGGTAAGTTCTACAAGATCTCGTACGCCGGAACCCATGGTTATAGACCCCTAGTATAGAACATTTTCTTTTCGATTAGTATTACACGAGATCTCGACCTCATTAGTATCTATAATGTTCCATTCTTTTCCAAGTAAAATCCCTAGTATATGAAAGAATGAATGTTTTTTATTCACACGAGATCACAAATCCCAAATGTTTCATGTATAAAACAATATTCTATAAACACTACAAGGAAATCGGTTTGCAAGTTTGTATGACTTATTAGGCTCGTAAATGATCATGCATCTAACTATCAAATAGATGCAAGTAAAAAGAAAATCAAAGATAGCAAATTGAGGTGAATCTTACCAACCATTAATCTGTGTATCATGAAACAGACATTAAGATGCAACTTATTGAAGTCTCATCTAGTTTAGAATAGAGGTAAGCTTGGCGGAAAGCGTACAAGCATCCACTGTTTCTCATACGTCACCAGATGCCCCCATCCAATTTCTTCAAGTACCGATACCCTTTCTTCATAAAGCTGCTTCTTTGGGGGATCACCTTCTTCTTGGATCATCTCATTCACCACCTAACCAACCACACAAAAACCACGCATCAACCACCATCCATGAAAACTTCAATACATATAAACATATATGTAAACAACAATACCTTGAGTGCAGTACCAAGCCTTCCATTGTGTCGTTCACGTATCATCAAAAGAGTGCCATATTTACGTGATTTGGGATCTGCCCATTTCTGCACCTCTTTGAAAGTCTCTTCAAACAGATCTGGAGAAGATTCACCATCAGGTTTATCCACAACTTCTGCACCTAAGTTTGCTGCCAACACTGCCATCTCACCCTGTTTTACCACACACACACATCATAAGACAGTACTTAAATGACATCCTCTACACCATGCTATCAGAACTACATCGTATAAACAGCAATAACGTTCAAGAGTTTTTGGCTGGAACAATGATATATTCTATCTGGATTCCAAAACAATATAACAGGTCCATAAAGATGCATACAAGTTAACCTCATTATCTGTTGTTTTAAAACAAACGAGAAATTTTCCTAGCACCAACGGAAACCAACGAAACTAAGAACTGGATGTTATATAATACCATTTGAAGATAAAAGTTTATACTTATTTACTCTGCAGTATATTACGGGATTATTAGGATATTTATTTTATGGGTAAACATTTAGGATAATTATCTTTGTTGCAAGGAAAATGATTAGCTCTATCATTTAATTTATTGTTTGGATAGTTGCTAGCTTTATTAATGAGCATGTTTGCTACAAGCATCATCTTCATTACATACACTACAAGGATGGGATTTCATATATTTAGACAAAATACAAAAAGTTTCAGTTCCTCAGCTGAAAAGATTAAAAGCAAATTATCTTCCCCTTTTCTTTCTTGGTTCCCCAAGTAAACTAAAAAGCCCCATGATGATCACTACCATATCTACTAGCTTAGAGTGCAAGACCATGATGATCCCGACTGTAACATTACAGGACAAGCAGCTTTAACCCACATAAAGCTAATAATCACTGCTTGCCATTCTTAATATATCAATAGATATCTTGTTATCTTTCATAATGAGGAAGGTGTGCATTTCTTTGAATTTTTCTAAAATGGCCCAAATTTAGTAAAAATAATAGTTAACATATGCATTTGCAAACAATACCATCACAGTTCATATACAAAAAGATTGATACAGCAGCAGGCTGTTGCCTCTGTCATCTGCACCTTCTACTTATGTTGGTTACAGCTCTTAATCACCAAGACAGCTTGTCTATGAGAAATATAGCATCAACATACCAAATTATGCACCAAAGAATTCTCAGATAGAATAAACTTGTGTAAGTTCGTAACCAACAATACCATAACAATTGTAAACAAACAATACCTTGAGTGATGCAAGTTCCACTAAAGCTAAACCTTTCTGGTATAGTGCTTCAACCAGTAGATCACGTGTTTTCTCCATCTTCTTCTTGGTTTTCTACAGACATGGAAACAAAGGCTTGCTAGATTTGCAGAAAATTTATGACATAATTACACAATGAAAAACCAAACTAATTGTTTAGTATCGTAAAAGGGTCCTAACTCTTTTGGTATGGGTACAACTTAAAATCATTATATGGAAAGAAATCAGAAATAAATAGGTACCTCAAATTCTTCCTCATCAGGATCACCTTTGACAGACAAAAATCTTGCTAACTCATCTCTGTCAATACTATCAACTACCTCATCTGCTGCAGCAATTATCTGGAAGGATATGGTTCTTTCAAATGAAGTGAATTAAAGTAAAAGGACATTAGGTATATGAATTTTCATGATTTGTTTTTAAATTCATGACCTCCTGGCCTACAAAGGAAAAATCGCTCTATGCTCATGAGAAAGTCATAGATTTAACTAAAAACGCAGTTAAGGTTATTTTCCAAAATGACCCAGTAAAGGAACAACATAGATGAGAAAGGGAATTGCACACAGTTGTACATGTACGACAGTTCATCAACCAAAAAAAGCTCCACGAGAGAGAAGCAAAACAAATTCTGTATCTACTTGTGTATTTTGCTTCTATTTTCTGTTTCTCTTTCCCCTCTGCATTTTTTATAATTTTCCAATAAGCACATAAATAGAGCAATTAAACTATACCAGTAATCAATTACATTCTTGATGGCAAACATCTCTATATGTAACAACCTCCTAATAAAGCCACATTTAGCTATGATTATTTTCCACTTATATTAGTTTCTATGCACTTCTGTTTTTCATTTACTTCATTTATTGTTGACGAAGGGCTTGGATATTCCTAAGTGCATGCAATTTTTTTTGTTTCACCCTCATCCACTCCTTGCAGTCTCCTCCAAATAATATTTCAATCATGGACTTGGGACCATTGTAACTGAGAAAATTGGGTTGACCTCACAGGACTGGAGAAGAATTTGACATGTTGAGGAACCCACTTGTATTAAAAAAGGAAGTATGAAAATTCAACGCATATAAGGAAACATCAAACCACCTCGTCTTAAATGCTACCAGATAAATGTATTATGTATAGACATGCTTAGCCTCATTACCTCTTCATAATGGTGTATTTTATCTTCTACTTCCTGAGATACAAGTCCCTCCAATATTTGGGCCAGCAATGGAGTGTATTTTGGATATTCCAACTGCCAAAAGTAAATATGATGAAAACATTAGACAACTGAAGCAGATCAGGAAAGATACCATATGACATGGCTGTGTTACAATATATCTCAACAGGTTGACCTAACTCAGACAAAAGCAAGTCGCATCAAATCCCAAAAAATGGAATCATTACAGTTAAATGATAAGGCTAAACACAAAATACATACCTTGAGTGAGATGGATAATTTTTTCCATTCTTCCCGTTCGTCTTCTGTATCTTGTTTGAGGCTTGCAAGAACCTTTATCTTGACGTCACGCACCTGGTCAACAACATATAACAAACAAATATACTTTAGGAAGCAGAATACAATTTCATAGGTATGAAAGTCTATAAAGACGCATAATACATCACTTCACCCATCCATAGAATGCCAGAATTCTACAAATTAGAATTACACCAGTTGGAACTATAAGGAAGATGATGAAAGATGACTTCATCGGTCACTTTTATTTGCTAGCTTCTCTTATGACACAAAACATGATGAATGAGCCAGAGATTTCTAAATCAAAATTACACCATGTAGAGCTATGAGCAAGATGATAAAAGAGAACTTCATCAGTCATTTTTATTTGTTAAGCCCTCTTACGACACAGGGAACAACCTGAGTGAGGCAGAGATCTATTAATACTTGCATGAAATAAATCGACATCTCACCATGTAAGAAATAGCAAGTTCAAACATGCAACATATCTGCTGCCAAAGAACAGGTGATAACGGCACAATAACAAGCAACGACATCCTCTTGGTCAAAACAATGCTCAGTAAGCATGTACGTCTTCCTTTTCCTGTTTTTCCTTACTTGTGAACCACAAAATTTGCTAAAAAGGCTTGAATAACAGAAACATTTTTCCAAAATAGAAAGATAACAATAAAGGTTTATCGCTGAAATAGAAGTCTCGGTTATACCAAACCGAAATATAGATAAAACACATAGATTACGGTAATAAGTTTGAAATTTCCTTCATACCTCTTCCTCTAAACGTTCTGAGACACTTTTTGTGGACTTCGTAGCAGCAGAACTCTTACCCTTATCCTCATCAAGCTGTCCAAAAGATAAAAATAACTAATTTTATCCACGGTATGATGAAGAGTTGCAAAGCACATATAGAATTAAAACATGATGTAAAGGAAGGGCACAAGAGAACCCAAACCAAGGTATAGAATTGCAACCTTAGGTGGTGGCACTTGATAAGATATCACATATGATACTGGATTCTTTTCAGGGTCATTTCCCTGATCTACAACCTCAGCCGATGGCTTTCCATATGAGATTGCTCCAAGCAGTACAGATCCTTCTGGAGAATTCTGGAATAGTCACATCGTTAATCATCCACTTCATAAATATCTAATATCAAACACAAAAAACATCAATCAACATGCTACCTTAGGAATCTTCTCCTTAGTTGGTGGTCCAACGTAAAATGCTTCTTTTGATCTACAAGATAGAACATATACAGTCATACATATATAATATGATATACTTCTAGGAAAGGTGAGGGAGGTTGGAGGGAGAGAACAAACCCAGGGTCTAAAGTTGATGATTTGAAGCTTCCGTTACCGGTGACTGGACCATCCGGTTGATTATAAAAGCTCAATTGCACAGCCTCCTGTTAGAAGTTCACATTAAGTGTCAAATGTATGCATATGAAGACAAAAAGAAAATGTATTTCATTGTAACACACTTAGCATTTAAGATAAATACTCTGAAAAGGATACATTGGTATAAAATAGCACCGAGTACATCAACCTCTCGTTGAGTAAAGTAGTATTCAACTGCATTTATGAGGCAAGTATGCAATGCAATAAACACTAAAAAGGCGGCAAGGGAACGACAGAAAATGTGAGAAAGAGTATGCTGATGTGACACTTTGCTCAAGGCCCAATTTACCGCTATGTCACCCCTCAGGATTGTGTAAGGTCTTACTCCATCTTGTAGTTCTAATATTGTTGAATTATACATATGGGTCTACCTTCATACAAGTCTTCAATTAGGTATAAGCAAGTTGCCTTATTTAGAAAGGAGCTCCCAACTTGTGGAACATGTTAAAGAGGCAGAACTGAAAAGTGCATATCTCATATCATGCATTCACACGTGCATTTATGTTGAGGTATCTATTGTAAATGCATAAAAACCATTAAAAAGAATTCATAAAAGAGGATGCACGAATATTAACAACTTTCAACATTTTATACATGGTGATAAAGATCGACTGTTACAGATGGAACCGTATATGAGATTTCTATGGCATTCAGGTATGGTGTAAATAGTGGATATTATATAAAAGATAAAAAATGTTTGCGCAAGGTATTTTCAAGTAGGTTAACGACAAGAACAATACAGTTACTACCTTCTCCAATTTTCTTTCAATGAATAACACTAATTGCTTCAATTTCTCCAAATACTGCATGTTCTCATGCCTGAAACTCAGCAATTGCAACAATTAAGAACAATTGATTGTCAACCATTCAACTCTATAGCTGCATATATATATATATATATATATAAGCAATGATATGTACTACTCCACAGAATAATATCATCGTCAATAATCAATGGAAACAAGAAGATTTCAGGTCTCTTCTTGTTTTCGTCATTGTAAAAGATACAGCCTCCAGAAAGTAGTCAGCCACAGTGAAGACATCACCGCTTTGCCTTAAACTTGAAAGCAACAGATTTCAGTTGAGAATGACTAATATTAGTTTTTATTGACAAGATGTTTTGTGGAATTTGAGATGTGTATAATAAATCAAGTTGTAGAACACGACATAATGAGAGGGTTCGCGCTAACTTCTTAAAGATGGATCATACCTCAAGTGCAGTTGCAAAGTGTATTCACCCTTGGGCAATTTTGCGGAATCCGGGTAGACATCACCCATCGCATATACACGCTATATACAACAAATGGAAGAGAAATAGGTGAGGTCAAGTCAATCAAGGGAAGCCTCAAGTGAAGAAATATACTTTCAGAATGTGAAATAAATTGCAGATAATGCCAACAGAGAAGTAATATGGAAGCAAACAGACCCAAAAGTAAACAAATGAAACACAAGTGCTAGATCTATGCGCACTCGAAGGCATAAAATGGTTATTTGGGGACTGTCTCAAGGAAATCACAATTCACCACTTTTTTGGGAACCTAAAATAGACATTTAAAGCATACATACAGCAGTATTCACTAATCCTTACCTACATAGCTGAGATACCTCCGTAAGTAACCTAGTCAAAGTTGTTAAAGGCTCAAGGCGCACTTAGGTGCAAAGGGCTCCTGAGGCCTAGGCGCGAGGAGCAGGCGTGAGGCGCGGGACTCAGGAATGCGAAGCGCATCTTATCAGTATACATACACACAGTTACACACAACAAGTCTCCAATGCAGCAACCACAGTACTCTAATTACTACCAGAAAAAAATAAATTGGATTGTTGTTTGCCAATTAACTTTATTTTAACATAAATCAATTCAAGAATGATTAAAAGATTGGAGCTCTCTTTTTTATGTTGTGCAGAAATCAACACTTAAATGATTTTGGATACAAGCTTATGAGACCCTAGGGTTTCTTTGGTATTAAACCCTAAAAACAATGTTCGTTTTCACATTTTTGTAATGTTTTCTCTTTAAAAATGTCCCTTGCCTTTAAAAAGATCTATTAGTGAAGAATTTAACATAGTAAGTCGTTTTCCTACTTGAGGATACTTTTAGAATATATCTCGTGTCAATGGGGAAAATGTGATATGAAAGTTACAAATATGGCCTCTGTAGCAAGTATGATGCAAGGTCAAGGATTATCTACTGGACTGAAAAAGTACCTTGTTTGAATCTGAAATCATATAAAACTGGGATTCAAACTTGTTATCGTAGATACGATTGTTAAGCAAGGGAATCTGAGGTTTTACTTCCGCTCCATCTTCCAACTTGAACTTGTAACTGCAGCGTAAGACATCGATGATCTATTTATCATTTGATACAAGTAACCATGCGAAGCACTATGGTTGAGAAAAAGTTAACCAAAACCCACGTCAACGTCAATGCAAGTATCTGTTTGCCAGAGGGTAATTTATCTCGATCCGCTGAAAGAGCACTTAATTTCACATCAGTAGGACGATACGGGACTCTAATCTGCAAAATGATATTGAATACAGCGACATTTTCTTTAGCACCATGCATCCAGATGAGCAGAATGGCACTGGCACATCAAAATTCAAATAGCATCACCAAATCTACCTTGTTTAGCTTCGCGGTAGGAGCAAGTTTCTCAGATGATAATAAAGCTTGGGCTTCGATTCTAACAGGTGCTTCACTTCCATCAAGGATCACTTCATCTTTGCTAACGTCTATCCCATGGAATGCAATCTACAAATTAAAATAAAAATAATCGGTAAGATTATTTTTATGTAAAGAACATCATGGATAATTTAGATTAGCCAAAAAAACAGAATATCACTTTTTACTTGTATAATACTCGAAACAGAGAAGAAACCCAACAAAGAATAAAGAAGAAAGAATATCCATCCTTCTTCTAGATGCCAAGAGACCACCACGGCCTACCGTCATCGAGGTTTTTCAGAACTATAGGACCTAACTATGGATGATTCATATATTTTAAAGTGGACAACCACCATAGATCCTAAGCAATCAAGAAACCAACAAGAGTGAACTACTGCATCCTTACTTTGACTCTTGACACATGGTGCATTCTGGAGCCTTATAGTCTTGCATATTTGAATTAGTCTTTTGTTGACAACGGATTGTGTGAACCCGTTTCTGGATTTCTACTTTATGGAAACAATATTATTTCAGGTGCCATTATTCCWACTTCTGCAGCTATAGGTTTGCATTTTTACCCAATATGGGAAGCAGCATCCGTTGATGAATGGTTATACAACGGTGGTCCTTATGAACTAATTATTCTACACTTCTTACCACAATTTAAGGTACCAATATTAATACACACATACATACATGCATGTATATATATATATATATATATTTTATATATATTCCAAGAAATTTTCCCTTCCTAAGCCATTCTAAAGTTTTCATGCCATTCTCTTGTATATTTATCACTTCCAGACTTTAAACTTTATTAACTGAAAGAGAGACAAACCCACCTGCTTCTTGTACAAGCAATCAAAGATGCCAAACCCTTTACCGCCCCTAAAACAGTAACTATTAGGGGATGTTTGGTTGGTTTTCCATCAAGTACCGAGTGGATAAAGCTGTCTGTCTGGATTAATCTGTCGGTATAGGTTGGGAAAGTTTTTGTTTGGGAGGGTTTTTCATAGATGGAATGTGCGTGTTTTTCAATTGGGGCAGACATGTCTAGAAAAACCTTGGCTTTCTGCATAAAGCTCCCCTAGAAGCTTACTGAATAAACCACTTTCTATATCATTAAGCCACTACCAAACAGTCATGTATAGCTGACCAAAAAGCTGAGTCCCATTAAGCTCATTAAGCTGCTAACAAACATGCCCTCAGACTAGTAAGCTTGATATTCCTTTGCATAGTACAAAGCCAGTGAATCTTATTTCATATTATTTCACGTCAGCTAGCAAGGTTCTAACTTTAGAATAGCAGTAGGTATAAACTATTATAAGAAAAAATGTCTTCTCCAAAACTAAGAACCAAACAATCTAACTTCCATTTTCCATGTACGATCAAGATGGGAACACTACACAAGAGAGTTCCATTGTTGAGAATTGGGTTGTTTTAGTAAAATAGAGACTTCTTCAGATTCTACAAGCAAGTTCCTTCCTTAATTTCTAAGTTACAATAAGTATTTAAGCTATAAAATCAACTGTTTGTTACCATGTAATATTCCTGATGCATTGCAGTCATAGAAGGTATTATACAAGTTTATTTCAGAATATCTTCAAATTTAACTTAGAAATAGATAGTTACCTTACAAGTAACCCTAGATAATTTCATATGTAAGCTCCAAAACAAACAATAACATGTAACCATCATAATATGTGAGTAATAAAATTGGATCTCAGTATCAGCCAAATAGTTGAACTTTGAAAACAAAGACAGAGACAGAATCAGATATGTGACCTCAAAGTCAACAACAGCAGTTTCATGGCTTCCTACACCACTAGACCAGAATTGAGCTATTGCTAATTCCATTGTCCGGCCACCCTCCACGGAAAAGGTAAAGCTCTTCGTAGATGGAGAAGAAAATATTGCAACACTTTCCCACTTGATAGGCCTCCGTAATGGAGAGAGCTGCAGATTTGTAAGAATGTCAAAACTAGCTTACACAGTGTGAAACTAGTCATGCATTATGTCACATACCTGGACAGTGTCAATGTAAAATCTTCTAGCCGTGTCGAACCCTGACGTACGCATGGTTGCCTCAACCCAGCTAGCCCCATATGGGACCTCAATGTATTTGCGTATGATATGGCCTGCAAATCAGTAAATCAGGAGATAGAGAAAGAAGCACAAGCTCAATTATCTCACAGAACAAATGTAACTGCATTTAGAAGAAAGGGGATTAGAAAAGAACAAGGGAGCATAGGGAGAAGGAACATCAAAAAATCACCTTACAGAAATAAATCAACAAGAATTCAATGGCACTATGGAATAGTGGAACTCCATAAGACTTATTTGCACTCATGTTAATATTGGTTGCACAATGATAGGAACTCAGTAAACTATCAGATTAGCGATCAATCAGTAACATCCATTTGATGTATCAACACTTGCATGTTGCTTTGAGTTTGTGCATCAATCGTGAAATGGAAAGAAGCAAACAATACTAGACATGACGACAACTATTCTCTGTGTAGTGAACCTGCCAGCACTTCCTCCGAGAAAACACCTCCGAAGATTGTTAAGTAGATATTTTAAGGAAAACGGCACAAAATCTTATGGATCCTACACTAATAAACAATGGCGGAGCCACAACCAACATAGTGCTCCTGTTGACCCCAGTCAACCCTCAAAAAGATAATTAGATTTACCTAAAAAGAACCCAGCTGTTTTTTAACTTGACCCCACGTCCCCACCCCACCCACTTGGGTTTTAGGTTTTTTTTTATTTCTTAAATATTAATGTTATTCATTAATAATATAAAGTAATTTTCTTTTATTGTTTTAATGTTCATCAATTATTTGTTATTTTATTTCTTAAACCTATATTTGGTTTTTATAAGGCATGTTCATATTTTTTTAGTTTTTTAAGTTAGGGTTGGGTGCTAATTGTTAATGATGTTGCTGTTGGTTGTTGCTAATTGTTGTTACTATAGATTATTGGTCCCTTAAAAACTGTTGTTGCTAATTGATTGTTTTGTTGCTGCTAGTTCTTGTGCAATTCCAATCTTGCTACAATGCTACTACGGTACTACTAGTTTGGTCGTGTTGTTAAATCCATCTCAATTATAAACCAATTCATCGTATGTTAAGTGTTCTATATGCTCAAACTAATTAATAAGAAGTAAATATATAAAATAATAATATAATTTGCTTTGCGGTTTAACCGAAAAGGTAAAAGAATAACCGACCCCGAACTGAACAAGGTATCCTTATTCAGTTAACAGAACCATTTAACCCGAAACCGTTTTGGTTCGGGAGGGTTATTTTGTTTTGGAATATTTTGACACCCCTAAGTCTGAGTTCCTGGATCCTCCACTGCCAATAAGTGACAGACCCCATTCAGTTTTACACCTTGTATCTGTTTCTCATGTTCTTTAAATAGATAAATATTGTTCACTTGCAGGATTCCTTGATTGTTTTCTATTTCAGTTAGTGATTACATAGATATCTTGAAGTGCTTTCGGAGCACAAACACAAGCATATATATTTGTGTGTGTATATATATGCAGAGAACATACTACAAATTTAAGGAACTGTTACACATATAGATAGTAGGGATAATAGGGGGATGGTCAATTAGTCAATTGTGGGGGCTGGTCAATTAGTCAAGTAAGTTGGTTATTACAAGTATAAATAGAAGGGGATAGAAGTGATTAGGCATCAGTTTTGTATTGTGTAATTGGAGGAAACCTCTGTGGCGGCTCTCTCGAAAAGCTGGAAATCAATTTGTAAACATTTGATCGTTGAATATAAATGAACAGTTTACATCAAATGGTATCAGAGCAGTCGATTCTGGAATTGACCAGGAGCATGCTTGTCATGGCACAAAAGATGGAGGATATTACTTCGATGAAGTCTTCAATGAATGTGGTTTAAGAAGATTGGAAAATCATAAAGGATTCGATTCAAGAAGACTTGAATTATGTCCAAGAACAATCAATTGATCAAGATTGCAAACTTACGGTCTTGGCAAAAAAGAGAAAAAGAAAACAAGATGAGAGAGAGAAGGAAGAAGAAAGATCGAATCTGAAGCCAAAATCAGATTTAATTTCGAATCGAGGTTTGATTTGGAATCCAAAATCCAAGCAAACAACATCACTCCATTGGCCCAAGCTGAAGAAGAGCAAGAAGAGAAACGCGAGGAAAAAAAAATAAGGAATCCAAGCCTATTCCATCAAGCCCATCAAATTTGAAACCCTAAACCCATCCCAGCACTTCATTTTCAAGATCCCAAGATTATGTTATGAGAACAAGGGAAAGGCAAAGACAAAATCAATGGTGAGGAGTAAATCGACAACAAAGAAGGCTCCGGCAGAGAAGAAACGAAGAACACGCAAGAGGCTATTCCAGGTTGTATTGACAATCGACAAAGAAAAGAAGAACAAGATTTTGGTAGATGGTACAAGTAATTGCATCATGGGAAGATTTTGGTTCGGCAACAACCATGGCTTACCACCGCCACCGCCGGTATTGTTTTTGCCATTACCACCATTGTCCCAGCCACCTTTGTCATCAGTCTTCCATGGTTCTTCATCTGAGTATGTTTTTTGGAACAGCCGTATGTATGTTCAAAGAAAAAACCAGGGGTTTATTCGTTCTATTGGACTTCAAAGGCAACGGCGAAGCCCACATTTATATCCTTCTCTTAAGCCCAAAAACTGACTTTATCTCTCAAGCCCTAAAGATTTCAAGAATGCACCGAAGTATGAATTTCTGGAACAAATACAAAGCCAAGAAGTGTAAAACTCCAGAATTATTTTTTTCTTTCCACCTTGAGGACAAGGTGGATGTTTGGGGGGCGGGTATTGTTACACATATAGATGGTAGGGATAATAGGGGGCTGGTCAATTAGTCAAGTAAGTTGGTTATTACAAGTATAAATAGAAGGGGATAGAAGTGATTAGGCATCAGTTTTGTATTGTGTAATTAGAGGAAAACCTGTGGAGAGATCCGGCTCTCTCGAAAAGCTGGAAATCAATTTGTAAACATTTGATCGTTGAATAAAGATGAACAGTTTGCATAAGGAACCTAAATACTTTTACTTATGGTGGAGAGAAAAGTGCAAATCTTAGCACAACTGCAACCAGAAGGGTAATCGAACCTACACACTATTAAGACTTGTGTACTACCATCCTCCTGTTCCCAATGAATGGCATTTGGAAGATTATGGCAAGCTTCACAGTCCTCTAGATATTTATTCAAATCCTCATTTAGAGTGTTGATCCTGCAACTGTACTATCCTGGCATAGCCTTTCACATGGTTAGCTTGGCCAGATCCAGGAAGACCAAGGGTTGACATTCATTAGTTACAGCATGAACTACCAGGGAACCTGACCTTGTTTGCTGTGTACGAATATACAGAGCGACAAAATAGGCAGATATAGATATTAATACATGTATATAGGAATGAATTTAATGAGGCATATCCACAATCAAGCAGGATATAATTCGGAACCATGACCAACTCTCAGAAGTTTACCAAGAAAAATAATGCATATTGCCTTCCCATTGATGCAAGGATTTTGTTCTTCAAACTTAATGGGAGGTAGGGAGCTAAACAGCTACTCATTATCTAAAATTCAAAACGTTACATTGCAGAAAAACTTAAATCATTAATCAAAAGTTGCAAACTCCAGCATAATTCCCAAGCATACCACAAAATTAGGGGTCTTGTAGGAAATAAGGACTTCTAGATTGTTACATGGTAGAAAAACTAAATATCCAATTAGAAGTTGCAACTTCAGCTTAATTCCCAAGTGTACCACAAACTTGGGTCTCACAAAAATTAAGGCAGTCTGACTTGTTACCAAAATTATGTCCTGCATTTCATTTAATAATTATATCAATGACCAATGAGAGAGAATGATGAGGTTTATAAGGTGAACTGTCTGTAGGGAAAATATGTTATTCCAAAATAGACGGGGAGGTGTGTAATCCATGTGTGTGAGGTCTCAGATCCGAGCCAGGGCACAACCCTTGGCCGTTTGGGACATGCACGACTTAACTCCCCCATGATGAGTAAGGGACCAGAGTGGTGGGGTGCTCCAGAGGGTAGCGTACACCCTTTTTTACACCAACTATAGGCAGAATTCTCGCAGTAAATGAAGTCAAATTTCTTAGCCAACATATTTACAGGGACTAATTTTGACAACTTTGTAATGTTTACAACTATCTGTAATTATTAGACAGATCTATTCCTAATTTAGTGGTAGGGTATACATAGGTTTCTTCCCCTATTTAAGGGGCTCCTGTTTATTGTATCGAGGCAGAGAAAATAAGATACCACAGAAACTTTTATGGTATCAGAGCTACGATTCTGACTCTTTTTACCCTACCATCCGATTTTTTTTCCATCCTCTTCTCATTCCAACCCTTCGGTTCTGATCTAACACCATGACAAAGTCAGATGACAAACCTGAAAGCAGTTCTTTTGCCAAATCTCTCCACCCCGCCTATTCGGTTTCAAACATTCAGACCAAGATCCGCACGTTAGACGGGTCTAAAGTTACATACTCCTCTTGGGTGAAACTCTTTAGGTTTCACGCCATCGCCTACAAAGTCTTGGATCATCTCAATGATACACCTGCCCCAGCCAACACAGATCCCTCTTATGAATCTTGGAAGGAGTTAGATGCCCTTGTTTCTCAATAGATCTACAGTACAATTTCTGATGATCTTCTTGTTCGAGTTCTTGACACTGAAGCATCTGCACGAACCACCTGGCTCAAACTCGAAAAGATTTTCTTGAGCAACAAGCAAGCCAAAGCCGCAGCCCTGGAAACCCGATTTGTCAATCTCACGCTTGCTGCCTGTAATTCGGTGGAAGATTATTGTCAACAACTCAAAGATTTGGCCAACCAGCTAGTTGATGTTGGCCAACCGRTTCCCGAGAAGCGTCTTGTATTACAGCTTGTTCGAGGTTTATCCCCCGAATTTGATACTACARCATCGTTGATCAACTCCCAGGATGCCGATTGGGATCTGGCCCGTACCATGCTTACCGACGAGGTGATACGTCTTGAAGCCCGGAAACAACAATCCTCATTAGTTCTTGTCACTCCCGCAGCTCCTGCCCCTACTCTGATTCAACAGCAGTCCGCTCCGAACAGCAGCAATACCTCTCAACAGCCACAGTCTCAATACCGTGGCAGAGGCAGGGGTCGCGGGTAGCAATACCGGGGCCGAGGACGTGGACGTGGGAACCGAAACTCTCAATCTAATTGGGCGTTTCAGAATAACTCTTACCCCCAATGGGCTTGGTGGAACACTCCACCTTGCCCTTACCCTACACAAACCACATGAAAACCCAATCAACCACCACAATACCCGTCCACGACCCCATCGACTAACTATACAGGCTTCCCTCTCCGGGTCACTTTGGCAGCACCCAACACCCAGCTTTCACCGGGTTCGACGCATTGAATCCTTCTTATTTAAGTGCTGCCTTTAATACCATGCAGTTGAACTACACGGATCCCAACTACTACTTCGACACCGGCGCTGAGCAACATGTCACTGACAACCGAGGTATGATCCAACATCCTAATTATTTTCCTGTTCACACGAAAATTCTTGTTGGTAATGGCAATGTTTTACCTATTGCGGGGTCCGGTACTGGTTTTCTTCCCATATACAACCGTAACTATATTTTACCAAATATTCTTTACAGTCCAC